AGGCAGACCAGGGTCCAGCCACCCCGCACGGGGATCTGGGGATGGGCAGGACCCAGGGTGGGTCCCAGTTCACCCACCTTTCTCCCCAGTTTGAATACATGGCCCAGCATCTGGTCTTTGCCAACTGCATCCCGCTCATCCTGAAGTTCTTCAACCAGAACATCATGTCCTACATCACTGCCAAGAACAGGTAGCGGAGGGGGCTGCCCACCCGCAACCCTGCTGGGTGTGGGGAGGGGGTCCCTGCCTGTTCTGCCCCTCCACAATCCCTCCCTGGCTGTGGCTTTGGCACAGGTAGAACCCGGGGAAGTGCCCACTACAGCTGATCTCCTGTGGGTGGGAGGTGTGAGGCTGTGTTGCCGCCAGGCCAGGTAGGATCTTGGGGAGCAGCGTGACACCCCCTCTTCTTCCTGCAGCATTTCTGTCCTGGACTACCCGTACTGTGTGGTGCACGAGCTGCCGGAGCTGACAGCAGAGAGCCTGGTCAGTCTCTCCTTTCTCTCTCAGGTCCTGGCACCCTGGGGTGCTTCCTGGGGGGGGGTTGGGGGGTAAATTATGGGTGCAGAGAGGCAGCAGGGCTCCAGCACCCAGCTCTGGCACCCTCAGCCCTCCTGCACTCGCCCCTGGCGTTTTGGGGAGGTGTGTGGGGCTGGCAGATGTCTCCTGCCCACATGCTGTGCTGTACCCCTTTGGGCAAGGGTCCTCAGGCCAGAGCAGCCCCTCCTCATCCCCACCCCGATCCCTGCCCCTGCTTTCCCGCAGGAAGCCGGAGACAACAACCAGTTTTGCTGGAGGAACCTCTTCTCCTGCATAAACCTCCTGCGCATCCTGAACAAGCTGACCAAGTGGAAGCACTCCCGCACCATGGTGAGGGCTGGGCGACCCTGCTGGGACTCAGCCCAGCTGGACTGGGCTGGCACTGGGGGGGGGGGGGGGGGGGGGGGGGGGGGGGCTGTGGATATCATGGGGTGCCCCTTGCATGGCACCCCAAACCTTGCAGAGGAGCGGGAGGTGAGAGTTGGTGGGTGGAAGCGGGGCGAGGGGGTGCTGCAGGGCAGGGTTTGTGTGTGCTGGAGGAGGTGGTTGGCACGCGTGCCGCGGGAGGTACCCGCGTACCCAGCCCAGCCATGTCACCCCGCTGTCCCCGGCTGCCGGGGGGGGGGCGGGGGCCGTTCCCCGCAGATGCTGGTGGTGTTCAAGTCAGCGCCCATCCTGAAGCGGGCCCTGAAGGTGAAGCAGGCCATGATGCAGCTCTACGTGCTGAAGCTGCTCAAGGTACAGACCAAGTACCTGGGCCGGCAGTGGAGGAAGAGCAACATGAAGACCATGTCGGCCATCTACCAGAAAGTGCGGCACCGTCTCAACGACGACTGGGCTTATGGCAACGGTAGGGCCTTCGCAGTGGCTGCAGAGCATCCCCTTACCCCGCTGTCCTTCCTGCTCCGTGCAGTGACCTGTCCGTGCCCAGAGCTGCCCCTTTGCTGCTTAGGCCTCGTGCAGCCCTTTGGTCTGGGGTGCGGGGAGGGATTTGGGGTGGTGGCATTGCGGCGAAGAGGGAAAGGGAGCTGCCTGCTCCGTGCCCTGTGTGATACTCTTTGTAAGGACCTGCGGCGACGTTTCCTGCGGGATTTGGGCTGGCTGAAGGGTCCCCAGCTCCCCTCTGACACCTGTTTTCCCTCTGCCCAGACCTGGACGCCCGTCCCTGGGACTTCCAGGCGGAGGAGTGCGCCCTGCGCGCCAGCATCGAGCGCTTCAACTCGCGACGCTACGACCGAGCGCACAGCAACCCCGATTTCCTGCCCGTGGACAACTGCCTGCAGAGTGTGCTGGGCCAGCGCGTGGACCTGCCCGAGGATTTCCAGGTCAACTACGACCTGTGGCTGGAGCGGGAGGTCTTCTCCCGACCCATCTCCTGGGAGGAGCTGCTGCAGTGACGGACGCTGGGGAGGCAGGAGGGGGCTGCTTTGGGGAGATCTCGAGGCTGGCCCGCTGCTGAGGGGCAGGGGGAGCGAGGCTTTGGGGGGGGGTCTGTGGGTGCCTGGACCCCCTGTGGTGGGCTTGGGGACAGGCTGGAGCTGTGGGGTCCTCACCAAGACCCCGTCCAGCCCCTCTGCCTCCTGCCAGGTTCAACCCTGAGCTGAGGGTGAAGGTTTGGAGGAGGCCACAGTGCCCTGGGAGTTTCCCGTTGGGTTGAGGAGGGGGAGGGATCTGTGCGCACCCCTAATCAATGCTTTTGGAGGCAGCACCCTCCTCCCCGCCCCCTCCTGCCCCCCCACCAGTTGGGGCTGAGAAGGGGGGGAGCAGGGCAAAGCGAGGTGCGGGCCCTGGGGAGCAGAGCCTGGTGGGGCAGGAGAACCGTCTGTCCCCCTGCACAGCGCCTGCCTGGGGCCACGGTGGCTGGGGCAGGGCGGGGGCTGAGGGGCTGACCTTGCCAACGGGCTGGGGGGGCTGCAGGCTGCAGTCTTCCCTCGCCCCGCTGGGTGGGGTGGATGAGCTGTACATATATATATATATATATATATTTCGCGATCTCTCTGACCCGAGCGTGTCTGGGCTCTGTCTGTCTCCAGCCCTCCTGCCCCTGGGAAGCAGCACTTGGGGCTGAGCTGGTGCACGGGGTTTGCTGTCTCGTGTCCTCGTCCCCGTTCACTCCTCAAGTCCCACTGCGGGTGGATTTAACTCTCACCAAAAGATTTAATATTTATCTCGCGACTGGATCTGTCGGCTTGGGGGGCGCCGGTGACCTCGGAGGGGTGTGGGCAGGAGCTGGCATGTGCCTGTCCGCTTCCCTCAACCCTCCCGAGTTCTGCCCTGGGATTTCTGACACTGGTGTGGTGGTGTCACTGGGATTTTCCTTGACCCCTGCTCCCAGCCGTGGAGCCGGACATCAAATCCTCCATCCCCAAAGCCTGGCCTTGACCTCACCCTTACACCTTACAGTGCCTCAGTTTCCCTGGCAGAGAGGCAGCTCGGGTGGGTGAAATCCCAGTAATTCACCCCTGGTTTGAGGAGGGGGGAGGCTGGGGCAGCCCCCTTTTACTCCACATGCCCTGCCAGGGCTGAGCCAGGGGGTGCAACCACCGCTGTCGCACTGCAAAGTGTACTGTGCCCCCCCCCCCCCCCTTGGATGCTTTCCCTCCACCTGGGTGTCCCCAGCACCCACCCTGGCCCCCAAAACCTGGTCCCTGGGCAGGAGCCAGCCTGGCGGGCCGGGGGCAGATGAGGTGTGAGCTGAGCCGAGCTCCATCACACCTCGCTCCCCGCCGCCTGCTCCAAAATGCTCCCCAGCTGGGCCGGGCGATCACAGACCGTGGCTTTTATAGCGCTGCCGGAGCCATAAATAACTTATTAAAAATGTCTTTTATTGTTTATAAATGAATAACAAAATCCCCGCTGGTGGGAAGGGGGGGGGGGGCCCTGTGAGAGCCAGGGTGTGAGATGTCTCAGGGAGAGGGTGGGCACCCGTTGGGTGCATGGCCAGGCCGTGGGCTGTCTCCCGTGGGGGGGGGACACCCACTGTGGCCAGGCTGCCCCACGGGGCCGAGCCTGGTGGGTGAGGAACATCCACGCAGGTCAGGGAGCATTTAGGCTCCCTTTGGCTGGAAACCTTGGGTTTTGGCCCAAATCTGGACCAGCAGGTGTGTGTGTTTCCCCCAGCATCAGGGAGTTATTTTTTTTTTTTTTTTTTTTTTTGGCATGAGGGGACTGTTGGGGGTGTAACAGCATCTCCTGGTGATGGGGGTGAGTGGGAGCAAGGGGAGAGCCCCCCGTCTGTGACTTGGTGCGAGCCGTTTGCCTGCAGTGGGGGGGGGTCACACCGGCTGGAGGACGGGATGGCACACGCTGCTGTGACCTGGAGGGACTCGGGGTGGGCCCTGGGACCCCCGGAGCAGATGAAGCACCTCAGATGTGATGAGGTGATTCCCACCCCCACCCCCCCCCGGACACCCGGGGCTGGCTGTACAGGTACCACCACTCAGGGGCTCCCTGCAGGCCCCCAAAATGGGGAAAACTCTCCTAATTGACCACTTGTCCCCCCTGACACCCCAGCTGGGGCCCCCGGGATGGTACCAGGGGTGGGGGTCCCACCCCCTTGGATTAAAGCTCTTCCCTGCCTCCTCCATCTGAGGGGTGCACGGGGTGGCTATGGGTGACCCCACAGGGAAATCGGCTTCAGTTTAGGGGTCTTTATCCCTGCAACCCCCCCACACCATACTGGTTTATTGCCCCTCCTGGGGGGCTCGGCATGTTGCAGGAGCTGGTGACTGTGTTTGGGGTCATCCTGAATCTTATTTCCCCTCTGAGGGGGAGCAGAAAGGGCTGCTGGTGGTTTGGGGGGGGGGCTTGGAAGGCTCCTTGACCGTGGCTGGGGTTTTTTTTTCTGCCCCCAATAGCCCCCCCATGAGCACCAGCAGCTGTCCCAGCTTGCGTCGGTCTCCCCAGTATGGGTGGACTGGGACATGAAGAGCCCCTATTGCTGGCTGCACTGGGGGGGCTCGGCGGCCCAATTTCGGCTGGGGAGGGGAGCACTAGCCCCCAAAAAAACCTGGTGCCCCCTGCCATGGTGCTTCCCTGGCACCCCCCCCCATTGGCATGGTCCCAAGGCTGGTGCCCCCCCGGGTCAGGCGGGGGGGGGGGGGGGCAAGAGGCTGTGACCCTGCTGCACTGGGTATCTCCCATCAAATCCCAGTCACTGAAGGTGCTTGGCGGGGGGGCTCAGGTTTTTTGGGAGCCACTTTCAGGGTCCCAAGCTGCCCATGCCAGCCCTGCTGGGGCAGAGTTGGTTTGGGGGGGGGTGACCCTTTTCCCTCCCCCAGCAGCCTTGTTTTGACCACCCTCTCACCCGGGGCGGGGGGGGCAGCAACAGCGTGATGGAGCCGACTGGGATGCAGGAAAGCTCGTGGAAATTGGGGTGCACAGGGAGGGGGGTAAGGGTGAACACCCCCCCCCCCCCCAACCTGCTCCCACACCCTGGTGCTGGGGGCGGGAGGGGGACACGCTCGGGGTGTGTGTGTGTGTGTGTGTGAACGCTCCGTGTCCCTCCCTGCGGGGGGGCGGGGGATCACGTAGCCCAGTTCAGCAGGCTGCTGGTCGCCTCTTTGCTCTTCACCCTCAGCGGCACCAGGGCGGGCGACTTGTAGTCGTTTTGGGGTGCCGGCTCGAAGGGGTGGGTGCCCAGGGCCGGGGGGGGGAGGCCGTGCAGGGAGTAGAGGCTGTTGATGCCGGGGTGGGGGCCGGGAGAAGCGGGGATGCCCATGAAGCCGGCGATGTTGCTGTGAGCGTGGGGGTACGGAGACATGCAGGGGGACGGGATGCTCTCGGGGGGCAGGAGCCCGGTGGGGCTCCCGGGGCCGGAGTTCGGCCACAGGTTGTTCTGCAGCTGAAAGAAAAGACACCCCCCCCCCCCCCCCAAAAAAAAAAAGCTTGAAGTGAAGCATCGGGGGGAAGCCAGCTGAGGGAGGGGACCACATCCCCCCACCCTGCATCCCCCCCACCCATAGAGTGCAAAGCGAGGGATGCCCTTGCTTTATTTTAATTGCCTGGGGGGTAGGGGGGGCGGGTTGAATCCTCACTGAAATCTTCCTCCCTCCCCGTGCAGGGCAGCTGTGGGACAGTTTGGCATCAGGGGATGTGCGTGAAGCTGTTTTAAATGATTTTCACGCTTTTCAATGTTGGGGGGAAAAAAAAAAAAGAAAAGAAAAAAAAAAGGTAGTTTTGCAGAAAAGGGGGGCAGGAAGCACTGATGGATGTGGGACAGGTAGAGGGGTTTCTTTGAGAGCGGGGGGGACACAGACCCCAAAGGGCATGTTCCCACGGGAGATTAGGGGGGGATGTAAAGCAGCATCGTCCTGCGCTTGGCAAAACGTGACGCTGCATCTTCTCCCCTTTTCCAGTCGGGGCCACGTGCTTTTCCCACGGGTGGATGAAATTGCAGAGCTCGTGAGAGAGGAGGGGTGGAAACGGGTGATGCGGGTCACCCCACGGGGACCCCGGGGACAATGGGACAGGACCCCTGCCCTGGCCGGGGGCGGGGGCACAGGGCTGGGGTAGGCAGCCGCCGCGGCATCTCCTCACCTCCTGGATTTTCCCGTAACGTTCCCGTTTCCGCCACTTGGCCCGTCGGTTCTGGAACCAGACCTGGGGGATGGAGGGGGGGGCTGAGGCGCAGGGACCGCTGCCTGCCCGCGGCGAGATGGGCAGCTCTCTGCCAGCTCCACTCTCCTCTTCCCGGGGGGGAAAGAGCCCTAACATGACACCCCAGCATCCCGGTAAACGGGACGAACGGAGGAAGCCGCTCTTGTGCGCAGCCCTGTTTGAGCTCACCAGCTTTTTTCTCTACCAAGAGCAGAAATACCTCTTATCCCTCTTGGAAAATAAACAGTCCTGCACCGTGCGTGGTTTGTTTCCTCTCCCTTGTGCTTCTGGGTCGCGTTTACCCCAGGTTTTGATGCAGAATGAGGCTCTTTGGGTCCTGCGTGGTCAGGATGACCCCCCGGCATGTCCCCTCCGTGCTGCTGGATGGGGTTGAGGACCGCAGCTGGCTGGGGCAGTGACGGCTCCAGCAGCATCTCCCGGAGAGGAGGACATGGCAGCGGGGTGCTTGCCACGGAGCTCTCGTGGTTACAGGTAATTTCATCTAAATCCACCCCAAATCAGGGCTCGGAGGCTGCGGTGGGTGCTGGGTGGTTGCAGGCTTGGGGTGCGCATCCCCTGTCCCCAGCTCCTGCCCCTCGGGGAGGGCAGCACCCAAGACTCGGTGGCTCGAGGCACCCAGCACCCCATGGGTGCTCCCCGCTTGCTTCGTTACCCGCCCGCCTTCACTTTTTTCCCCGCCGGGTGCCCCCTCCAGCCGCCTCTTCCCGCCGGGAGCCTCAAACCACACAGAGATGACTCTGGAAAGAGCTCACTGGCTTGACGCAAGCGTGATGCTGGTGGAGCCGGGGTGGTGAGGGAGGGCCCCATCCCCTCCCACATCCCGGGACGTGCCACCCCCATCCTCATCCACGCTGAGCTCCCGGGGATCCCTCTCCTGGGGTGGCAGCTCCATCGTGGCTAGTCCTGGGCTGGAGGGAGCGGAGGTGGGGAGAGAGGCTGGGGATGAGGGATGCAAGATGGGGGGATCGTATTAGGGGATGCTGGGGGGGGGTGGGGGGCAGGTTGGCTGTAACCTCACAGATTTTGGCTCTTCCCATCCCTTGAGCACTGCAGAGAGGGGATAAAGGGAGAACGGGAGAAAACTAAGAGAGGCAACTGTCATCCACACCCCACGGCACCTGGGCTGGGATTTCCCCTCTGGGGTTTAGCATAATCCTCCCAGGAAAAACAGCTCCTAACTCAGCATCACCCTGCGAAGGGAAAACATCCTCCCAGCCTGCCCAGCACCCTCGGGGCAGCCGTGGGGAGCCACGGACCCGTGTCCATACCTGCACCCTGGCTTCGGTCAGGTCCGTCCGTAGTGCCAGCTGCTCACGGGCGTAGACATCGGGGTAATGGGTCTTCTGGAAGACTTTCTCCAGCTCCTCCAGCTGGAACGTGCTGAAGGTCGTCCTGTTCCTCCGCTTCTTGTTCTTGCTCTTGCCCAGGGGCTCGGGGAGCTCGGGGACCCCGTGTTCCCGTAGGGTGCCCAGGGGTGCTGCCAGCGGGCACCCCAGCTCCCCCGGGGCTTTCACAGGGGCTCGACAGGCTGCGGGCATCGCCTGGTACCCACCTTTGCATCCTTTCTCGCCGCCTGGCAGGGGGAGAGGCACAAGACAGGGTGATGTTAATGGTGATAATGAAGCCAAGAGCCCGCTGTGCCGGCAGCCCCAACCCTCCCCTCCCATCCCTGCAGGGTCCTGGTCACCCCGGGGAATGTTGGGGCACAGTCCCAGGAGAAAGGGATCGGCACAGACACGCAGCACATCAAATCCATCACAGGGGAGGGCAAAATCCCCACTCGCTGGCAGAGCTGTGGGCAGGCAACGCTCCCTGAGGGGTTGGGAGGAAGCCTGGCTGGAGCAGCGTGTGCTTGGGGACCCGTGGCCAGGGGTCCCGCTTGGGGACCCTCTCAGATGCTGCTACTAAGGGATGGGCGACGGGGGGCAGAGAAGGCGAGTGCAGGGTTGTCTTGCAGGCAGGGTTTTTTTTACTCGACTCTCCCCCTGCTCCCTTCCAGCATGGGCTGATACCTCCACCCTGCTCAGCTGCGCCCGGGGCAGAAACATCGGATCCACCAGTAACCCCAGCCCATCCCAGTACTGGGCTGTATCCAGACCCCCACGTTTGAGCTTGGTTCAAGGGGAGCCTCTGCTTGCCCCTGGGCCAGCATTTCCCCGTAGCTGTAACTCTCAGGAAACCATTTGGAAAGTAGTGAAAAATAACACCGCACCTCCTCCCCCCCCCCCCCCGCCCCCAACTTTTTGTACAAGAAGAGCTCTCCTTCCCCCCCTCCTGCGGGACCAGAGGAGTCAGAGCAAGAAATTTAGGCGTTCCCCTCTTCCCCTCGCTGCTGCAGCATCTCCCGAGTGTTTCATGAAATGCCTTCAAGGAGCTAAGTCGCTGCCACGCATTTCGGAGGTCACCTTTGTCCCCTGGGGGGATTGCTTGTCTCCACCCGGGGACACAAGGAGCTCGGTGGTTCTGGCTGATGCCGGGTGCTGCTGGGACCCTGAGGAGCTGAACTGGTGGAGGGAGAATCAAAGTGGGGACTTAGCAGATGCGGGGGATGGCTTGGGGTCCCCCAGCAACCGAGGGGACACAGAAGCATCACCTGGGAAAGAGACAACCTGAAAATGCTGGGGTTTGCCGTGGTCTCACCCCCAACCCAAGGACCAGCTCCAGAGCCTTGGGCTTGCTGCAGGTGGAGCCCACTGGCCCCCTCGCGGCAGCAGGATCAGGCCCACGGCCGGGCCTCGGGCACCGCACAGCACTCAGGGCCGCCGAGGGGGGAAATCACCTCCTTTGGGATGGATCCTCCTTCCCGGCCAGTTAACCATCCCATCCTCCTGGAGTGGGGGAACAGGGTCCCCATCCCTACGGACCCACCCTGGGCTCCGCACCCCCCCAAACCAGCCCCCGCCGTGGCCTTTTCTGGACTTTCGGTTTTGATTTTTGGTTGTTTCCTAATTAAGGCAATTTGGGGGTTACAGCACGCAGCCGAGAGCAAAGATCCAGCTGCTTTGAATTAATGAGAAAATTTTATCTAGGGGGAGGTCTGGGGGGGGGCGATTGCTCCCCATCCCTCTTGGTACCGACCTGTCTACGTGCCCGGCGGTGGGTAACGGCGAAAGGATGAGGCCAAATTGCCATTTCCTCCCCATTTTGTCCTCTGAAGGGCTCAGCTGCTGGGCCGGGGGGTTTTAATGATAAAAACCAAGTCCCACCAAGGAGCGGAGCAAAGGCAAAAAACCCAAATGTGACCGAAAATAAGGAAAAATGACTGAAGTAAAAAAAACCTGCTGCACAAAGTAGCCCAATAAATGCATCAGGTTTGGGGTTTTTTCCCTCTTTTCAAAGGCAACACGCTGCATTTCTGAGCGACCCGCGTTTTTTTGGCGTTGGAGACAAATAAATAAATGGCCAGAAAGAAGAAGGCAGGAAGGGAGCAGGATACAGGCGCGTAGCTAAATAAACACGGCGTTGCAGGGGGACAAAGAGGATGGGAAAAAGGGAAGATACAGATTTCTCCCCCCGTCCCCCTCCCCCCTTCCTAAACTGACACCCCCTGAAAGATTTGGCGGCGCTGGGGAAGTCAGCAGCTGGGGAACAGCTGTACGATTCTTGGGTTAACCGGGAGGGGAAAGGAGAACTCAAAGGGATCATTACCGGAGGGATGGGGGCATGAAAAGGGCTCTTGGGAACCGGGGGAGACACCCCAGCCGGCAGCGTGAAGCACGGCCGTGGCCGGCAGCATCCCCCCCCGCCGCACCGGGAGCAGGTAAGCGCGGTGGAGAGCACCGGCTCGGTGTCCCCGGCACCCCCAGAGCTTTTTCTACCTGTTCCCCCCACCCCGGCTGGGAGCAGGGTGGCTTTGCTGGGCCCCACCTGGTTCCCATTACACCCGTGGCACTGCCTTTTTCTTCTTATATTAAAGTGAAGCCGAGGGGAGGCGGTGGGGGGGGGGGGAGCGCAAATAAAAGGCCCGTGGGACCGGGGAGCCCCGGAGGGACGGGCTGAGCCCGGTCAGCCCCGGCCGGAGCCCCCGGCTGGGAAAACGCGAGGGAGTGGCGGGTGTTGCTCGGTCGGTGGAAGCGATGGGGAAAGCCCCGGGGAAGCGCCTCGTCCTGCCCGAGCCCGGCGAGGGGTGCGGAGCCCCGGCGGGCAGCGGCCGGGAGCCCCGAGAGCCCGGCACCGGTGTGCCCCGGGAGCCCCGAAACCGTGAATTGGCGGCACCGGGAGCCCCGAGAGCCGGGCACCGGGAGCGCTGGAGCCGGGCACCGGGGAGCTCCGTGCCCCGTAAGCCCCGCGGGCCGGGAGCTGACGGCTCTGCCCGGGCCCGGAGCGCCGGTTGCTGCCGCCGGTGCTGCTCGGTGAGGGTCCCGGGCACGGGAGGCGGCGGTCGGCCTCGCCTTGCCAGCCTCCTCCGAGGGACGGGGCCGTTCGTCCGTCCCCGGTAACGGGCTCCAGCCCCGTCGGGACCCGCCGCTCCTCCGCCCGGGGTGCGGCCCGCCCAGGCCGGTCCCCGCCGTCGCGGCAGCGGGGCCGGTTCTCTCTCACCGCCTCTTCCCCCGGCCCCCCCGTTTTTGCAGAACGAGAACGATCCCGGAGACCTCGGTGTCTGTCGCGACACAGTCCCGACACCCGGCAGCACCGGCCCCGTCGGGGGGGATGCCCTGGCGGTCTCCGCTCCGACGGGGTCATATCGCGACAGCGGCCGCCTCGGTGAAGCCGAGAGGGAGCGTGTTCGAGATAGGACGCTCGGAAGGTGGGGAGGGGGGAGGAAATCAGGGCTGGGGGTGCCGGCACCGAGGGCAGCGGCAGGATCAGGCCCCCGGGCGGGGGGTAGAGAGGAGGAAAGAGAAGCAGAAGAGGCCGGGGAGGGGGTCGGCGGCCCCGGCTCCCCCCATCCACCCGCCGCTCGCCCCGGTACCTGCAGCCCCGGCCGGGTAGAAGGGCTTCCCATTGACGGCCACGGCGAGGGGGCCCGGGCTGGCGACCCCCAAGTACCGGGGCTCTGCCCTGGCCGGCGGACAGCGGGCCGGGCGGGGGCTGAGCGGCGGCGGGTGCCGGGGGGGGCCCGGTGGATCGCCCGTGAAGGCGGTGGGTGCCCGGGGGAGCCCCGGGGGGGGTCCAGCCCGGCGAGGCGGGGGAAAGGCCGGGCAGCCCGGTGCCTCCATGCCGCAGGTTGGAGGGAAGGAGTGGGGAGAGGAGGGGGGGGGGGGGGCGGCCGGCGGGGAGCGGATTTTGTGCGGGGGGCCGGGGAGGAGGGGGGATGGTGGTGATGGGAAGGGAGGGATCGCCAAGCACACCCCCCCCCCCCCCCCATACACACCCACACCCACTCGCACACCCCAGCCCACTTCCCCCACTCCACAGCCAGTCACGTGCGTCCTCCCATCCACTTCGTTAACCCTCTAATCCCAATTCCCCCCGCCCCCCCCCCCCAGCCCCTAGGGCCCTTTCCCGAGTGGGTCGGACCAGAGCAGCAGTCCCCCTCCATCCTCAAGGCAGGGGCCGTGGGGGGAGCCCTGCTCCTCCCCTCCCAGCGCTCCCAGTGTCTCCCAGCTACAGGAAATGCCCAGGGCCCTTCCTTCATTTAAAGCTTCATCCCCAACTGCTACAAGCAGCAAAAAATCCCAGGCAGGGGGGAGAAACTTCCATTTTTCAGACACCCTCTGGGGTTTTTTTTTCCCCTTCCCAAGCTGTACTGAACTCCTTTGTAGCTTTTCCCACCCCAAGGTCGGTGCTGAGGCCTGGGCAGGTCGGTTCAGGGATGATCGTGACCCTGGGACATGGGATCCAGGATCCCACGGTGCCGTGTCTGCCCTCGGAGCCGGCGCTGGGCTCTGCTGGCATGGGTGGAGTTTGCCCCCAGCACCGAGGAGACCCTATCCTGCTCCCCGTGTGGTCCCACACCCCAGGATTTGGGTCCCCCCATCCCAGCAGCCCGGTTTTGGCTTTTGCGGCGAGTGCCGGCGTTGGGGCAGAGCAGATCAGAGCTTGCCTGCACTTTGTTGTTTTTGTTTTTTCACCCTCTCTCCTCCCTTTTTGCTCCACTGCATCCATCCACTTTGGAGCCACTTTGGCTGCTCCTCGGGGCTGGCTTGTGTGTGCGTGGGTCATACATCTTGGGGGTGTTTGTGTGCAAAATGATGGGGCGGGTTTGGCAATTCAAAGGCTTGGCATCAAAGAGAGAGGGGCTTAAATAACAGGCACGGAGAAATGAGCAGATATCTGGGCTGAAGGGTGATGTTTAATGACTCTGTTTGCTGTTTTCCCTTACGCACAGCACAGACCACAGCTTTTAACTCATCCGAGGGTATCGCTCCTCGCTGGAGGTCTAGGAAAAAATAATGTGCAGGTATCGGGGCTGCAGGGCAGGGGATGCACTGCGTGGGAGCAGCAAAAAGAGGTGGAGAAGGACCAGGTGGATCACAGACGTGTGATGTTAAATAGCGGAACGACAGGATAACGCTGACCATTAAATGACATTACACAGCGTGCTATCGCTTTTTATTGCTGGTGCTGGGGCAGCACTTTGTTATCCCAGGCACGGTACAAATTTGGAATCTCAAGACAATCGT